GAATGAGAACTGAAAGCCCTTATTTGTGGGTATTTGTGGGGGTTTTTAGAAAAAGAAACGGAAACGAAAAAAAATTACGATCAAGTAGCGCCTGTTTTAATTTTCAACGGGCTTGTTTTAATTTTCAGTCTCCCGCTTAAGTTTTAAACGCGCCAGAACAAAAAAAATTACGATCAAGTACTTATAGCATTTAAATTTTTTTAAACGCTATCAAAAAATAAGGCACATACGATCTATAACACTTACAACATAAACGCTATCATTCAACGCTATAAAAAAACAGCTTTGTTGTAGTGTCGGATCCCTTAGCTCCAAGGCTATGTGCAAGATCCGTAAAGTCTTCAAGGAGACTAAAGATCCAACCGTTCCTGAACCACCAAATGAAGTCTTCTCATTTGGACCAGATCTCTCGGATAGCCTCTCCTCTGAAGGAGTAGGCTTAGCCGCAACCAAACTTGTCAACCGAGTTGAAGGTTTCACACCCGCGCCAAAGCGACGGGTATTGGGTCACAAAAGGCTCATTGCGGTGACAAACTCGATCAACACACACAGCGACACTGCAAAAGCCTTAAAACAGGCTAAGAAGAACGTCACTCGATGAAGGAGAAGATCCCGACGACGGGCACAACTCTGAGAGAGACGATCCTCCAATCAAAGCAAGCCTTACATTGATGAGCCCAAATACGAGCCCCGCGTGATCCAACTTAAACACAACCCTCAAGAGAGCGTTCCAATATCAAAACGCAGCCCTCAGGGGCACATTTCAACATCAGAACGCAGTCCTCAAGGATGCGTTTCAACTCCAAAATGTAGTTTTTCGGGATGTGTTTCCCAAACAGAATACAACTCTCAGGAATGCATTCCAGAACCAAAATACATGTCTCCAGACTGTGTTAGTCAGCCTGAACGTAGTTCTTAAGAGAACGTTTTAGAATCCAAACACAAGTCTCAGGACTGCATCGACCAGCCAGAACGCAGCCCGCAGAGACGTGTTTCACCAGCAAAATGCAGACCTAAATCCTGCGTTCTTTAATCCAAACACGACCTTCATGTTTCGTGCGCGATGTGTCAAGTCGTGTTGAGGGTGACCGACATGGACTTCAAACAACAGATGCAGGCCTAAATAATAAAACCAAATACAGAATCTGATGTATACCATAGACCTTCGGGATGCTGCCCCGAGCCCCGCTGGGGGGTAGTCTACCCCTCCCGACCCTCAACAGGGGGTGCGTCGCCACCTGGACCCCCGCTCGCTGATCGGGCAGTGAAACCCCCGTACTGGGTTATTCATAGCGTGACTAGATTGATGGGCGGACATAAGAAGTCTACGGATTTAAGGCATCTTAATAAGATCCATGTTCACCAGGAACCAGTCCCGTCCAATCATAGGCAGGGGGTTCCAGTTCACACCTCACGTTCAGTGAGTAACTCATCTCAAGCCTCCGCAACAAACTTGAGAGAGTTCATATCAAGAGAAAGACTGATACCAGTCGTTCATTCATATCAATGTGAATAGCTGATTTCTGCGGTCCTCTTGGGATGTTAATGCTGCTCACATGCAACCAAGCCTATGGGGTTTGACCGATTGACCAATGTCGCGTTACCCAATAAACGACGATGTTCTCACAAGAAGAAGACTTCAGAGGATGAATATCTTAGAGTCATTTCTAACATGGTCGGTAGAGGGAAGTCATCAATTCCTAGTTCTGATAAATAAGAAATGAGTCGGTCTCCTAGATTTAAAGAGATCCTGAGTGAGTTTGAAGGAATCTATCAACACACTCGAACTCGGAAGAGAGTCATACCCCTTGTTGATTATCGAAGATTGGCCAGAGGAACTAACTCTGATGATGAATACTCAGCCATCACAGAGTCTCAGTCCTACAGTTCTTTTGTGGAACACGAGAGCTCCACTTATATAGCAGGATATCATGAAGACCTCGTGAAGAGATTTGATGAGCAGCAAGTCATGATCAAAGCACAGCAGAAGACCATCAATGAACTCCGGATCCAGATGACTCAATTTGTCACAGACAAGGTCAAATCTTTGCAGACAGATTCACCACCCATGCAATAATCTTCCAGGAAAGGAATATCATTTTCATCCCGACCTCACACAAGCCAAAAGAAGGGAAAAGTGGTTGATGATGCTGCTTCTGACCAAGAAGCTGACAACCTGGAATCTTCCTCTGATGAAGGAAGAGAAAACGAGCAGAACCTCTAGTCTGCAAAAATGGAAGAATTAGAAGCTCGTCTTAATGCCATAGCCCACAGAAACGAGCTCCAAGATGAGGGAGTTGTTAGGCCCTATCCTACCGAATAGGATACAACCTCTTATCCTTCAAAGTTCGAAGTCCCGACGCTACGAGCTTTTGACGGTACGGGATCACCGAACCAACATATCTATCATTTCAAGTCACTGGGAATGTGATATCGAACGATGTTATATTGGCTCGTTTGTTCATTAGCACCCTCAAGGGGGTTGTCTTTAAATGGTTCATGAAACTGCCCGCAGGATGTATCCAAAAGTGGGTGGATCTAGAGAGACTCTTCCTGTCAAGATTCTTTAAAAACGATACAGAAGTCTCCATCCATACCCTTCTCATCACTAAGCAGAAGAAGAGGGAGCCCGTCAAAGTCTTCGTCAAAAGGTTCCGAAGCATGGCTCTTCGACATTCGTCGGGTATGACACGGTCTACCCTAGTGGAGACCTGTCAACATAACTTACATGCCAACTTTCTAACACAAATGAGGGTTGCAGACTGTCATTCCTGGAGATAACTAATCTCTCAAAGTGAACAGGCTCAAAAAATTATTGCCAAGGTCAAAGCTGAAGAACAAAGTAAGCAGAATCAACCTGAGCAATGGGACCAGGCTCAATCTTCCCAGTCAGAAGGTGAAAATATTGTGGTCACTGAAACTAATCCTCTTCAATAGGACGATGGGTCCATAAAAACTATCACGTTAATGATTACATCTGATAGTCCATTTTATCCAAAATCCCCAACCAATCCTCTTCAATAGGATGTCAGTTCCATCAAAACTATCACGTTAACAGTTACCTCTGATAGTCAAACTCGTCAGATAGTGGTCTACCAGGTGATGCGCCTCTATTCCGACTTAATAGATAGTGGCCCACAAGACGATGCGTCATGTCTACCCCTTTCTTCTTCCTCTTCTAAGTCTTAATCAAGACCGGGGGCTGGTTACTTGGAATCCACAGGATTAAGAGTAACAAATCTTCTAAGTTGTTATGTTCAACAAGACACCTCTGTCAACTACAAAATTCTTCCCCTACTAAGTCTTAATCAAGACTGGGGGTTGGTTACTTAGAATCCATTGGATTAAGCGTATCGAATCTTCCTGTCAATCCTCTTCAATATGATGACATGTCTATAAACATCATCGAGTTAACATTACACTTCTGACGATTTATATCCCCGTGAAGTATAAATTCAGCTTGCATCAGTCTCAATTTGTCATGTTAATATCACACCTCTAACAATCAACTTATCGTCTCTCTCCAATAGAGCGATAGGTCCTTAAAATTGTCCCGATCGTAACAAATTCTTGTCACGTTAACATCACACCTCTAACAATCCACTTATTAATCCTCTTCAATAGGATGATAAGTCCTCAAGGTTGCTCCGATCGTAATAAATTTCTGTCACGTTAATATCACACATCTGACAATCCACTTATCAATCCTCTTTAATAGGATGATAAGTCCTCAAGGTTATTGCGATCGTAATAAATTCCTATTACGTTAACATCACACATATGACAATCCACTTATCAGTCCTCTTCAATAGGATGATAAGTCCTCAAGATTGCTCCAATCGTAACAAATTCATATCACGTTAACATCACACATCTGACAATCCACTTATCAATACTCTTCAATAGGATGATAAGTCCATAAAGTTACTCCAATCGTAATAAATTCTGTCACGTTAATATCACACCTCTGACAACCAATCATTTCATCACATTAATATTACATCTCTCATGACGTTATGTTAATATTACACCTCTGATGACCAAATCAATTTATTGACTCTCTTCAATAGAGCGATAGACCCATAAAATACTATCACGTTAATATCACACCTCTGACAATTAATCCTTTCATCACCTTAAAATTACACCTCTGATGACGTCATCTTAACATTACACCTCTGACGACCAAAGAAACTTATCGACTCTCTTCAATAGAGTGATAGCCTCATAAAATACTGTTAGGTTAACATCACACCTCTAACAGTCAAACCCCCAATGAACTTGTTAATCCTTTTTTAACAAGTATAGCAAGTTTTTATTATAAAATCCCAGCAGATTAAAGATTTTTTGGAATTATCCTAGTTATAATAAAGAAAAATTTTGAATTTTACTCTAAGTAAAAATTCATGCCAAGTTAATACTACACCTATGGTATTTCTAACTTTCTTTCAGTGTTTCAAGTGAAGACATAACACAGAAAGAAACGAAGGCAAAGACTATGTATTCAATATTGTAGTATGTTGTTATTAATAATACCAAAATCCATGCCTTACACGCACGGATGACTTTATCTTGATCTCTAATTAGAGATAAGTCTTCATCTAACACATATTGTCGGATAACCTATTCCCGTAATAATGATGAAGTCTACGTATTCAACATCGTAACACTAAAAATCCATGTCTTTCACGCATGAGGGATTTTAGCTCGATCCCTAATTAGAGATATGCCTACACCTAACATGCGTTGCCGGGTAGTCTATTCTCGTGAAATTGACAAAGTCTATGTATTCGGTATCATAGCACTAAGTTTAAGAGAGTTCATTCTTTTAGCACAACGTTACATGTGGAATGGACTTAGACAATCCACATGCTAGCCCGACTCAAACGGTAGTCGGTAAAGACTTATCAAATCCGTTAATGGTTGAGGGTTTACCAAAAATCCTATGAATATTTGCGGGCCCATCAGCTGAATGGATGTGAGCCGCAACATGACGTTTGAGAGCTTCTGCTCATGAGTAGCATGTACCATCCCTACGGTTTCTCTTCAAAGCTCATCCTCACACGGGTCCTGCGTGGCAAATCCTTTCAACCAAGATGCCTTCAAAGCAGGTGCAGAGAATAAATCTTTTATGGTAAGGAATCAACAGCTTCAAGATCAGAGTTGAGATCCAAAGTATTCCAAAAATTCGTCCCAGTCAACCGTAAACTTTTAAAAACTTTAGAGGGGGTTCTGTAGGCTGTCTAAAAATTACTACAGATAGTTGATCTCCATCAAACACCGATGATAAAAATTACAATTTGACGGCTTTTAGAAGGTTACAATTTAAAAAAATTCACGTAGATCGATGAAGGTTACAATCTGACGACCTTCACAGCGAGAATTACAATCTGACGATTCTCACATTTCAAGGAGCTAGAGCGAAGATTACAAAATGACGATCTTTGCAACGCTCTGACAAAACTGATTACAAGTCAACGATCTCTTCAGATCCAAACGCAGAGCTCATTGTTGCGTTTTCACTCCAAAAGGCAGGGTTCATCGCTGCGTTCCAGATCTAAACGCAGAGCGTTTATTGCTGCATTTTCAGCCCGAAACACAGGGTTCATCGTTGCGTTCCAGATCCAAACGCAGAGATCATTGCTGCGTTTTCAACCCGAAACGCAGGGTTTATCATTGCGTTCTAGATCCAAACGCAGAGATCATTATTGTGTTTTCAACCCAGGGTTCATCGCTACGTTCTAGATCTAAACGCAGAAATCATTGCTGCACTTGCAGCCCAAAACGCAGAGCCCAACTTTGCGTCCCAGGATCAAGATGCAGATTTCATTCCAGAATGTGAACTTCGCGTTTGACTGGTTCAAACAGAACCTGAACAGTTTCAAAACCAATTTTCCACTTAATAAGGGCAGTTACACCCCATAAACCCTCGTTAAGAAGAGATTTAAGGGGGTGGTTACACCCCTTAAACCCCTATAAATAGTGGGTTCCACCACTGTATCTAAAAAGGGGGAGGATCAGAGCTGGGGAAAACGAGGTGATCAAAAGAGGGGCTTTGGCAGAGGCTTTTGGGAGATATTCGATTATCTTGGAGCTTCGGTAATCTTAAGCGATCATCCTTAGAGTTTTAGAGCTCTGGTACTTGGGTTAAAACCAATTTTCGGTTCAAATCAACTATTCTACAGAGTTTAAAACTCGTACTGAGTTCCCAAACCCATCAAGAGTTCTGTTCAAACTTGCCACACAAGTCCTCCTCAACATCAATCAAGAGAAAGAAACCATGTTCCAGTGAAGTGAAACATTCAAATCGTCAACAGGATACAAGATCGAAAACCCATCGACACCAAGAAGAACCCAGTTTTAAACAAAGGGAAGGATCTCCGTCGATCTTTCTCTCTTTTGTAAATCGGGAATCCGATACAAGAAAATTATAATTTTTTTTCTAAGTTGTTAGAGAGAGATTGCATCGAGAAAATTGAAATCTATTCTTTTTCTAAGTTTGTTAGAGAGGATAATATAAATTCATTTTCTTGATTTCTTCTTTCAATTTTCCCACCAAATAATAGGAAAGAAAACCTCTTGGAATAACCAAAAGATTGTCAAACATGACTTGATCCCAATTTACTTAAATTTTGACCATTATAGCATATACGTCTAAGGCAAGATCTTGAGATAGGAAATGAAAACTTCCAGTTTTAGGAAACATATTATAAGCAAGGATTCTTGCAATGAAACAGGGAATAAGTCGAAGTTTGTTTGAATGTTGCAAGGGTAATCCTTGACCGGGGAGTAAAATGTGATTAGCAAGTAAGTCATGATCCTTCATCTTGATACTACGAAGAAGTACACCTTTATAAGGGATATTCAAAATTTTACCAAGGGATTTTAGAGTTAATTTTATTTCTATTCCCTTAACAAGTATAGAAAGTTTGTCGGTTTTACTAATAGTTTCAAGACGAGTTATATTGGTGAAAAATAGTTTAACCAAAAGAGGATAGTAGGGTCTTCGATTATCAGAGGAAAACAATTTCAATAATCCAACATTTTCAAAGTAAGAACTAAAGTTATGTAATATAAAATCCTCAAACTTGACAAATCTACCCTGTAGAATCTCAAATTTTGAGATATTTTTAAATTCATCAAGTAATTTAGGACTTTACAAATACATTGAGTAGTCATAAACAATGTTGAAAGGATTTTGCTTGGATTTCTTAGATCTAGACATAATTTCTCAAAAGAAATTGAAAGAGTAAGGAGGAAAGAACTTACACAGATCTGAAGATTGCCCTAGAAGAGGAATAGTCGACTATAAATCTTAGTAGTCGACTATAGGAACTGAAACACCTTAGAATTATAAGAAGTGGGAAATTTTTTGAAGAAGAGTTAAAAAAAATTGGAAGCCCTAGTTGTTGGGTTCGACGGTTCTGAGTGGGAGAAGTTCTTGTTGGTTTTTGGAGAAAGAGAACATGAGTAGTTGAGGAGAGTTAGGGTTTTTGTCTTAAAGAAACTTCAATGGTCAGGATTTAATCTTAAAAACAAATAAGTGGTCAAGATTTAATCTAGAGAATATGTGATAAAGGGTTAGGATAGATCAAACCTATAATGAAAGGATGAGATTCATCTAACTTAAGTTAAATGGGTATTGGGTTTCAGGTATTATAGATAAAGATCAATTAAGTGAAAAATCTGTGTATGTAGTAAAAAATCTGTGTATGTAGTCGACTATTTAGCTTACTAGTCGACTATTCTGTTCTTGACAGAGTTCTGTTAATAAATTTTTACTCTGAGTAGTCGACTATTTAGCTTACTAGTCGACTATTCTGTAAATGACAATGTGTCTATTTCTAATGTGTTGGCCTTCTTGTTTTGATGATGTTTAACAAACAATTTACCACTAATGTTGTTTGTCTAGTATTTATGTTTTCGTATTTATTGTAGACAAACAACGCAGTTGGAGGATGGATGGAATAGCGCTTCAACGACGATATCAAATGGAGGTTGGCGGAATTGTGGAGTGAAGCAATATACAATTCAAGTTAAAGATCAAGTTCAAGCTTCATCCGCAAAGTGTACCAAGTCAAGCTTATTGAAGATCAACATCGGCTTGGGTAATCTAGTTCAGGTTTTATATTATGTGGGTTAGATACTCTAAGCTCAATATCATATACACACACATATTTGGTTTCTAAGCTCAAATATTGTATTCTCAGTTTATGGACTTAACAATCATCATATACATATTTTATTAAGTCTATATAATCATTGTGCAAAGTTTCAAAACATTGTTTATGTAAAACATCAAACTTCATGTATATCACTTTTTTTCATGTTTTGAACACTTTTGCAAAATAATGAGATTTCACAATTGGGAAATGCAAATTGGAAAATTCTTTTTGTAACATGTTCAAAATATCATTTTAAAACATTTCTCAAAGTTTCATCAATTTTGGAATTGATTTGTTATGTTTAAAGGAATTTACAAATTCACATTTTCGTTCGTGCACATGTTCGTGCATGTTTTACAAAACTGATGAGTTTTCACAAATGGGAAGTGATATTTGAAAAATTATTTCTCTGACATGTTTTCAAATCGGTCGACCGACAGAATTTCCGGTCGACCGACGATGGCTTTTACTGTTTCCAACGGCTAGTTTTTGTACCGTTGGCTGGGTCTTTTGGTCTTTTGTTTTGGGTGTTTTTGGCTGAGCTTTGAGTGGGTATATATACCCCATTGCTGATGTCTTTTCAAGTTAACTAAGAGAGTTTTTAATCAAGTTTAATAAAGTTTTTAACAAGGGTTTTAGTTTGGTTTAAGTGTGTTTAAAAAGCTTTTAAGCAAATTGAGAGTTTGTTTTTGTGATTCAATTCTACAAGAGCTTGAGGAGATCATCTATTGGTGTTTGGGCATTCAACTATTCTCCCTCCAACTCTTGATATATTGAGAAGTTTTCTAAACTCTATTTCTAGCTTTTTTATATATTTGATTATCATTGTTATTAAGCTAGAACTACATTGAGTTTAGTTTTGATTTATATCTCTTTGTTCACACACAACCTTTTGAGCTTATTGTATTTACATTCATAGTATAATTTAGGGTTGTGGGTTTGTGACATTGAGAGTGAGCTTAATTGAGTTCTCACCTTGTTTTGAGAACAATCATTTGTCATATTTGTGCTTATTGTGAGAATCACTTTGTAATACACTTGTACACCGAGTGAGGAGTGTGTGGTGAGAGTCGGGGATCGTCCCAAGAGGAGTGGCGTCGGTTGACGTGCCTAGGGAGAGGTTGTAACCGAGCACTTGAGGGAGACACGGCTAGGTCCAACACTTAGTGGGTGTAGAGTGTGATTGCAAGAGTGTGAGTTCTAGAGTTTTCGGTTAGCTAGAAAACCGAGTGTGTAGAAGAAGTTCCGGCTTCCAAACCGGATTGTGTTAGTGGATTTCTCCCCAGGAGTGGGGAGCGGAGACGTAGGACGGAAGGTCCGAACTCCGTGATCATATTGCTTGTTTGAGTGTGCTTTGGCGTTCATTCATATTTATGTTCATATCTTATATCGTCATTGTCATTAGCTCATTATCTATATCATCCACTATCTAGTTCATATTGTTTACCCCTTGTGTTAGTTTATATATCCTTGCATATATATATAATTCATCATCTAGGATATATCTCATTGTTTATATTGCATATTCTTGCACATAACTCTTTGTATATCTATCTTGCAAGAATATATTTGTTAATTGGTTTTAATTGGCATTTAATCGGATTAGATTAGCATAAGACCCTAATCACCCCCCTCTAGGGTCTAACATAATGAGTGTCAGAGAAGTCGACTATTAAGCTTATTAGTCGACTACAAATGCAGTGTATGCATATATTATGATTTAAAAGTTAATTTAAATCTAATATTGAACAAATACCTAATTCCCTTCTTAAATTAACAAAAAAATCTTATTTTAAGGGTTTAGTTAGTATATCTGCAATTGTTTATCTATTAATATAAATTCTAGTAAAATATCACCCTTAAGAACATGATCACGTAGAAAATGATGTCTTATATCGATATGTTTTGTACGTGAGTGTTGTATAGTATTTTTAGATAATTTAATAGCACTAGTGTTGTCACATAATATATGTGAAGTGGGATACTTAATGTCATAATCATACAATGTTTGTTTCATCCACATGACTTGTGCACATGCTGAACTAGCAGCAATGTACTCTGCCTCTGTTGTTGATAATGACATAGAGTTTTTCTTTTTGCTGAATCAGGATATTAGTGAATGTCCCGAAAAGTAACAAGTACCACTAGTACTCTTCCTATCGGATTTGCATCCAGCAAAATCAGCATCACTATATGACATTAAATCAAATGTGCAATCTTTTGGATAAAATAAATCAAAATCTGATGTATGATTTAAATATCTAAAAATTCTTTTTACAGCTTTAAGATGTGATTCTTTAGGATTTGACTAATATCTAGCGTATAAACAAATACTAAACATAATATCAGATCTACTAGTAGTAAGATAAAAAAGTGATCTAATCATACCTCGATAAAGTTTTTGATCAACATTCTTACCATTCTCATCCTTGTCAAGAGATGTAGTAGTACTCATTGGTGTCTTTTAGCTTGCAGTATTGTCCATCCCAAAGTGTTTAAGTAAATCCTTTGTGTATTTGCTTTGGTTGATGAAAGTTTCTTCCTTTAATTGTTTAATTTAAAGTCCAAGGAAGAAATTGAGTTCACCTATGTGACTCATTTCAAATTCTTTCTGCATAGACTTAGAAAATTCTTGGCAAAAATCATCGTTAGTAGATCCAAATATTATATCATCAATATAAATTTGAATTAAAAGAATATAATTATCAATTTTCTTTATAAAAAGTGTAGAGTCAACTTTTCCAATATTAAATCCGGAATTCAAAAGAAAACTCTTTAATCTATCATACCAAGCACGAGGTGTTTGCTTTAGACCATATAAGGTTTTCTTTAGTTTAAAAACATGATCTGAATAATATTCATGTTCAAAACCTGAAGGTTGTTCTACATAAACTTCTTCTTTAATAAAACCATTCAAAAATGCACTTTTTACATCCATTTGGTAAAGTTTAAAATTCATATAACTAGCAAAAACAAGTAGAATTCGTATGGATTCTAAACGTACTATAGGTACATAAGTTTCATCAAAATCTATTCCTTCTTCTTGATTGTATCCTTGTGCAACTAATCTTGCTTTATTTCTTATTACTTGTCCTGAAATCTATTCCTTCTTCTTGATTGTATCCTTGTGCAACTAATCTTGCTTTATTTCTTATTACTTGTCCTGATTCATCTAATTTATTCCTAAAAATATCCTTGTGCAACTAATCTTGCTTTATTTCTTATTACTTGTCCTGATTCATCTAATTTATTCCTAAAAAACCATTTTGTTCCTATTATAGAATGATCTTTCGGTCTAGGAACTAGATCTCATACATTATTTCTAACAAATTAATTTAATTCTTCTTGCATAGCAATTAACCAAAAGTCATCTTTACATGTTTCATCTATATTTTTGGGTTCAAAAGTAGAAACAAATGATACACAAGAGAACAGATTTAATTGATTTCTAGTCTTAACATTATCTGAAATATTACCTATACTATTATCATGAGGATGATCTCTAACTTCAACATATGCTTTTGGTAAATTATGTAAGTTATCTTTAACAGACATATCATCAATGTTATTAGCAACAAAATCTATAATATCATCATCATCAATAGATACAATAGGAGTTTTTGAAAAAGATTTATCAAATGAAACATGCAAACATTCTTCTATGTGGATTACCTACTATTCCAATACCGCTAACGTTACCCTTGTTGTTGTCTCCAGATGTGACTGTTCCACCTTTCTTGTTTTGAACCGAAGACAACATATTCAAGTTTTCCGTCATATGCTTAGAACATCCACTATCTAGTATCCATTTCTCTTTTCGAGATACTTAAAATATAGACATGTAAACATTGGTACCCTTTTATGTTGGGTCCTTGGGATTAGCTATTAGGAGTCTAAATTCACTTGGAATTTGGTTTCCCCTTGTTAACATAAACATAATTAGAAGAATTGCATACATTTATCTTAAAATCTAAAATATATACATCTCTATCATGCAAGCAAGTATCTTTAGGCACCCAAATAAACATAGATTTTTTATGCAAAGATACTTTAAAAGATGATGTATGAGAATCATTTCTAGAATATGAGAATCCATGATTATTCTTAACATGAGTATTCATAGATAAAGGTGCATGGACTTTTCTAACATCTTTAGTAAAAGAAGATGATGCATGATGTGTCCTAGTAACATATTCATTCTTCTTATGAACATATCTCAATCCAAATTTTTGATTAGAAGACTTTTAAAAAGATAATAAATCAGTCAAGTCTTCTTTCCCTTTGTTAAACTTGTTAACATTTAAAGATAACTCTTCATATTTAAATTTGAGTGAAACTATATTTTTATCTAAATCTGAAATACGAGTTTTCATGATATCACATTCAGATTTGAGATAAATATTATTATCAGTCAATAATCTATTTTTAGCAAATAACTTATCATTTAGTTCCTTCAATTCTTCAACTTGTGAGGAATTTAAAAAGATTAATTCTAAGTTTAATTTCTTATTTTCATTTTTTAAAATCTTATAATTAGAATTCAAATCCTTAAATTTAACATAAAGTTCATTGAATGCTTCTAATAACTCTTCATTATCTAATGATTCAATTACTCATTTTCGTGTGCCATGAAGCACATGTGAGCGGATTCTTCTTTCTGTTCTTCTTCTTCTTCCGAAGAGGATGCATCGCTGTCACCCCATGTCACTGCCAAAACCTTCTTCTTCTTCTTCTTCTTCTTCTTCTTGAAGTCGTTGAAGTTATTAAAGTTGATGGACTTTGCTTTTGACTTAAGAAGTGGACAATCCTTCTTTATATGTCCTTGTTTATTGCAGTTGAAGCACAAAGAATAACCATTAGTATTCTTAAACTTATTTGATTTATACTTACATTTCTTTAAAAATCGTTTGAATTTTTTTGTGATTAATGCAATATCCTCATCATCTTCTTCAGATTCTTCGGCTTCCGAGGATGTATTGAAGGCAAGAATTTTCTTGTTCTTTGGTTCCTCATCCTTCTTTCCGTCCTCGAGTTGAACTTTATATGCCATGAGATTTCCAATGAGGTTTTCTACGGTGAGAGTGGAAAGATCGTTGGCCTCTTTGATTGCCATAGTCCTCTTCTCCCAATCTAGAGTGAGTGCTCTTAGGATTTTCCTCACCATTTCAACTTGAGTGTAGACTTTGCCTAGTGCAATCAAGGAGTTTGTGATATCTGTAAATCTTGTGAACATCTCCGTGATGATCTCCTTGTCTTTCATCTTGAATAGTTCAAACCTGTGAACAAAAACATAAAATTTTGATTCTTTAATCTTGTTAGTTCATTCATGTGTTACCTCAAGAGTATGCCAAATTTGATGTGCAGATGTAGAGGTAGACACGCGATTAAACTCGTTCTTGTCCATGGCACAAACAATGCATTCATTGCCTTGGAGTCCAGATTCTCATTTTTTCTTTGAGAAAGTGTCCATTAAGTGTATGGAGTTGTTGGCTTTGAGAATTCTGTCTTAACGATGTTCCAAAGATCGTAGCCAAGTGATCGGAGGTAGATCTTCATCCGGCATTTCCAGTAGTTATAATTTATACCATCGAATAGTGGTGGTCGTTGTGTAGAGTGACCCTCTTTGAATTGTGATGTATTTGTCGTCATTATAATCCTTGCTCTGATACCGATTGTAGAATCTGCGGAAGCACACACTAAACACTAGAGGGGGGTGAATAGTGTTATTTAAAATTTTACAAGATGAATATTAACTTGCAAGAACAATGAACAACAATCTCAGAAAATGAATAATCACAAACAAGAGATTTTATACTAGTTCCACCACCCTGGTGTATATCCAGTCCCCAAGCAAATCCTGCTTGAGATTTCCACTATGATTTTAAAACTAATTACAAAATCAAACTTGACCAATTTGCAAGTCCTTGCAAATTGCAATACCAATCTCTACGCCAAGAGATCTTCTCTCAAACCCGAGAGAAACCTTTTTTGAAAAAATATACAAATCCCTGTAAGCCTTGATGTGAATAGGAAGTGCAGCAGTGGCTTAGAAATTTAAACTCTCTGAAAAATTTCCTAAACAATTTCTAGTAATAATGGAGAACAAAGGCAATCTTAGAATTTTCTTTTCTAGACAATTTGAATAAGAATTTGTATCAAGAGAGAATGAATTTGATCAAAATTCGAATCTTGTATGTACTAATGTCACTCATCAAATTCTGATGTTCTGACCTATTTATAGCCTTAAAAATATTCAAATTTTAAACCAAATTAACGTTTACAAACGGCTATAAACGATCACTAATTCAAATTCAGAACAGTTAGAAAAACTATCTTTGTAGTCGAGTACAAGACTTAGTAGTCGACTACACTGAGTCTATTTAGACTCTGTGAAGTCAAGAAACAGATTAGTAGTCGACTACTAAAGGCATTAGTCGACTATATTGTAAACCTTAAGTTTCTGTAAGTTGAAACTGAGAATGAGTAGTCGATTATTAAGGAGAGTAGTCAACTACTCTGTAAATATAAAGTTTCTGGATATATGACTTAGGATTCTATAGTCGACTACTAAGGGGATTAGTTGACTACTGATACTAAGATATGAGATATTTGATATATTTTGAGACACATTCTATATCTATAAACTCTAATGGTTAACTCTATAGTTAACCACACACTAAGCATGTGTTAGTGTGTTCTAAATACTATGTGCATATATGTGTTGTGAGTGATCAAGGCTTTTACAAGAATCTAAACAAAGAAAATGTAAAATACAATTTGACAAATTACGCACATATTCTTCTTTGCTTATCTTGTTGCCTTGAACTCATCCCTGCACTTAGTTCACATATCTTGAGCATATCAGATGTTTGTATTTTGTTATCTGCATTGATACGTTAGTGCATATATAATACACATAGTAAATAAATTGTTATCATCAAAATTATATCTTGGGGTCAAGATATCCAACGGAACAAAGATCCATATACAAATGAATATACTTGAGTCTGTTTTCAAGGGTTAAATCTGAAGATGGGAAACCGGGAAATACAGTCGATAAGGTGGGGAAACTGCTGTAGAACTGTTATCACTTTTTAAAGATTATGATTATGAACTTGTGCAAGAATATCCATAAACAGTAAGTGCTGTACTAGGTAGCATAAAGGCATGGAACTGAACCTGAGGTAGTTTGGGTGATATTCACAAGGGAAAACTGGGGTGCTCATGCCGGAGATGAATTTGTGTGCCACTAAACTGGTATGGTAAGAGGGACTACACTTGAGGTTAAATTGACAGAAGTGAAGGAAGAACTGAAAAATCTGGACAGGGTCAAGGATGCCGTCATACAATTGGAACGAATGGCAAAATGATTTTCTTGAAGCAGACATAATTAAGTACGATGAGGAAAAAATTAGTTAAGGTGGATAAATACATACAATGGTTTGCAGGAAACTACTGTGTAAAGGGTATCACTTCAATATTATGTTTACGAACTTTTGCAAAAATTTGATAAACAGTAGGAGCCGTGCCAATTTCTGGAAAGGTATTGGATATAAACAGGTCCATTTATGTGGAACTAAAATGGTAAACAAAGAGGAACTTCAACTATAAAGTCATATTGAAAGGATAATAAAAAAAGTGCAACTCTGGAAAAGATCAAGGATGTCCTCTTTCAACTGGAACGACAGCAAAAGGATTTTCTCGAAGCAGACACCACCTAATGGAAACATGGCTTGTTCTTACAGGCTACTACTGCGATAACACTTGTTATTGAGGGTTTGAATGGATTGGATATAAATACAGAGACAAATACGGATTGAGTAGGAAAATTCAATGTCCATATCCGCCAAAATCAGATTCAGAACATATTAGAGGAAACATATACAGAAGAAAGCGGATATGAGAAAAACAAGTAAGATTGAAAAATATATAAGACGTTAATGCAAATCTTTCCTACTATATTAAAAACTTAATGAGGATGGAAAAAGTTTGAAGGACATGGTAAAATTGTTCTTCATCTCATTAAAGACATAAGGACGCTTTGGTCATTTCACACAAATTTTCTTTTCTTTATTTCTAGAACTACTTTCTAAATCCTATCATAGTTCTTATCTATACTGCTATGTTAAAAACTTAGCAGGGTACGAGAAGTTTGAAGGAGATGGGAAAATCGTCTTTCATCTCACTAAATACAGAAGGACGCTTTGGTCATTTCACACGATCTCTCTTTTCTTTTCTCTTTCTCTATTTCTAGAACTTTCGAATGCCTATCATAGTGCTTATTAATTAAACATCTATGACATTATATATTATAAGAAGATATAAAGATGAAATGATAAAGTTTTTTTTCCATGTACATAAATACAATAAAAACAACAATTAGAAAATTAATATATTCTAATACAAATATTATCGAAAGTGTAAATATAAATACTTAGCTTAAAATAATTACAATAAAATAATATGAATATGAATATGAAAGAAAAACTCTTCTTAATGACATATAAAAGTTACGTTATTACTCAAATTGAAATGTATATCATAGCCAATTTAGAATAAGATAAGAAAAATAAAATCACACATAACATGAACAAATATTATTAAAAATATCTTAGAAATATCGATGATACTTTATTGTGTTAAAATTTATTAAAAAATTGGAATAATTAAGTTTTAATGTCGACTGCACGTGCAATAATCCTAGTGTTGTGTAAACAAAATGGAGTTTTCAAATGAGAGTCCATCAATAATTTCACTACATCTACAAAGCTAAGGTTA